GAAGCATATAGGAAGTCCTTCATTTTTGTAAAATGACGTAAAGTTTCTTGAACTATTATAGCATTGTTCGAAGCTCGCTTGCCTTGTTGAAAACTGGTTTGTGTGGGCCCTATTATTTTAGAGATAATAGGTTTAAGCCTATTGACAATAATTTTTATTATACTTTTGTAAGTGGTATTACAAAGACTTATGGGTCTATATTGTTGAAGTGTTTGAGCATGCTTTACCTTAGGAATAAGACAAATATAACTCTGATTTAGTAAGGGAGGTATAAAACCTGTATTAAAAGTGTGTTTGAAAAAATGTTTCACCTTATGTCCTACATGAGCCCAATATCTTTGATAGAAGAAAGGGTGAAAACCATCCGGACCTGGTGCCTTATAGGGACTAAAGTTTTGAATAGCTTGAGTAATTTCAGTATCCTTTAATGGTTATTCTAAGGATTTTAAATCTATAGAATTAAGGTGATAATTATTGAATTCATTTATAATACGAATTGAGTTTTCCTGCTCTGTAGTAAAAAGGTTAAAGTAATGCCTTAGGATTATATCATGAATTTCTTTCTGGTCAAAACACCAGTTACCAACTGAGTCTTGTAGTGAAGTTATTCTATTTCTCCTACATCTATTCAAAGTAGACAAGTGGAAAAACTTTGTATTGGCATCACCGTGATTCAACCACATTAATCTTGATTTTATTTCCAAAATTTCTCCTCACTTCTAAGTATACTACTATATTCAGTAGTAAGTTGTGTTTCTAAATTCTGCAGGAACAAACTAGTAGGATAATAAATTGAGCATTGTATTCCTGCTAACCTAACAAGTAGTTTCCTTTTACGACTAAAAATTTTCCCAAAAGTCAAGTGATTCCAATTTGTGACAATTTCCTCAAATTGATTTGTTGTTTCTAATAGAGGCTCATTATTATCCCAAGCTTGTTGTACTATTTCTGAAAATTATGGGTGTGACACCCACATTGTTTCAAATCGGAAAATTTTCCTAGTAATGCTTATTAAGGGTTCTAATATTATTAATAGGGGGCAATGGTCAGAATAAGTTCTAGGTAAATGTTGTACCTTAGCTTCAGGGTACATGTTTATCCAATCACAGTTGGCCATAAAACGATCGAGTCTTTCAAGTATAGTGTGGCCATTTCTATGCTTATTAGTCCACGTAAAATGACTACCTTTATATCCTAGATCTATTAGTTGACAATAGTTAACACAATTTATAAATATGTTTGCCCTATTAGTACTAATAGGTAGTCCACAAATTTTTCTCTTGCATATAATATATCGTTGAAATCACCTCCTATGAGCCAGGGAATATGATAATTATCATGCAATCTCATTAAATTTTCCCAAATCTATGTACGTAAATGATAAGAGTTACTAGCATATATAGCCGAAAGAATCTATTTAGGAGCATTGTGACGTACCTGAACGAGGCAGTAAATCTCTTGTTCAGACATAGTCAATTTCTCCACAGTGATGAGAGCCTCATGCCAGAAGACAACCAACCCTCCAATTAGCCCATTAGCTAGAACCTGGGACATGTTTGAGAAATCAAAATCCTCACGAAGCCTCTCATGATCATGCATGTGTGTTTCCAAAAGGATAAGTAAAGTTGGCATATGATTATCTAATAGGGACCTAAAGTGGCGTCTAAACTATGGATTATGAGAACCCCTACAATTCCATATTATGAAATTCATGATACTAATTTGAGGAATGGTGACTAGGGGAATCGGAATTAGAGGGGTGACAACAGAGGTTGTCATCTGACTCTGAGGATCCAATACTGGAGGAGGAGGAAGAAGTGTAGGAATGATCACCATTGAGTATTTTCCTGCTACTCGATTGTTTGTGACTCAAAAATTTAGGCTGCATGTGGTCATGTCTTGAGGACACTTTAGAATGAACTTATTTTTGTACTCTTCTTTGAGGTTGTAAAGATGGATTCCCTTTAACCATAAGAACTCCATCTTTGTCTCCCTTAGCTCCATTAAGATCTGAGCTAATTCTTGCCTTGTTTCTATATCTAATGCGTTGGGAGAAGGAGGTGGAGTATGTGGTGGACTTTCCATTAGTGTCAGTGTTTCTATGGGATTGTTGGGAGTGGAATATGGAGATAGTGGGTTGAAGGAGTTTAGGTTCTGGAACCATGGTGCATAGATCTGCCCTATGTGATGTGGAGGATAGAAAGGTAGGAGAGTTATTGTTGAGTTGAGCGTTGGAATTGGAGGAGGCATTGGGTATGTCCACTGTTATGGATTGGATGTTGATGCTTGGTTCTCCAGTAGGAAGAGTGTTTGAGTATTGTACCATTGATTCTGAGCATATGCTTCCATCCCTAATCTCATCCCCTCCGTTACTATTTCTGCCAAATGTGTTGGATTTTGAAGTAGGAGAACAACTTCCTGGTTGTTGATCTCCATTGTGAAGACTAATGCATGGCCCTGTAAACCCATCTCTAACCACGACTGTAGTGGGAGATCCATTGTGGTTTGCTAGAATGTGTACACTAACGGAGTTGTGATGTGTGGTAGTTGAGGGCCTTGCATGTCCAGATCTCTCAGATAAGTGTTGGTCGAGTTTGGGGGAAAGGTTGGTCGTTGCATGGCTACTATCTGTAGGAGTATGAGGTAAAATTGATGTGGTAGAAGATTGTATAGGATTTGTAGAATTTGAGAGAAGTTGTTGTGAAGTACAGCAAATCTCCTGTTGAGAGTCACATGTGAGGTAATCATTTGTTTTGTATGGGAATTAAGGTTGACTAGTTTGATGTTGGACGTAGGGTATTGTAGCATGTAAATTTGATTTGCTACTATCAACGTGTAGTCCATGTGTAATTGAATGGTCATATGAAGAAGCAGAGCTGTGTATTTGGTATTAGGTAGAATTGGTATTAGGTTGTTGCTCTACATGGAGTTCCTTAGGTGGCGTGTTTGAAGAATTAGGCATGGTTTGAGAGGTTATGTCTATTAGAGGTGTAGTAGGTGCTAATGTATTATGATTAGGAGTAGGGTTTATATGATTGGCGGAAAAGGACAGCCAGAGTTTAGTAGAATTGTCTCCTAGTGAATCTGATGTGGGCTTGGTTATTGATGAATCCTTTATTGGGCCTATTAGTACCCTAGTGTCCAAATCCATATTGGATTCATGCAGATCAGCTAATTTGTCATATTTATAAACAAAGACCTTATTATTTGGGTCGTTGGTAGAGATTTTATGTGCCTCAGTAGGCCCAGTAATAGGCCCAATGCTAGGCTCAATAGCAGTAGAATACTTACCAGGCCCAAAAGTAGTAGGTGACTTACCTCGATGTTGCCCTATCATGATTGCCTCCGACGCCGCCCTATTGTTGGTTTGATGTTAGGGTTGTATCATGGTAGTTGTTTCTTTGGAAAATCTACAATTTTCCATGCAGACTCTTGGGCTGTTTCTGGAGTTGATGGATTAGAGGTGGAACTAGTGTTAGACTGTAGAGATATGTGTGGTGTGTATTAGCAATTTATGTTTGCATGCCCAAATCTCCCACACTTTGTGTATAGCAAATTAAGCCCCTCATAGAGTAGCATCTGATAATGGTGTCCAATGAGTAAATGTGTTTTAAGAGGTTTCTCAAGGGCCACTTCAATGTAAATTCGAGCATACTTTCCCCTAGCAGTAGAGGAGGTAGATGCATCAACCTTCAGTAGTTGACCTAGTTTAGAACCCACCTTTCTTAAAATTTGCTCATCGTAAAATTTTGTTGGAAGTTCCAGTAGACGAACCCATATGGCTGAGTACATAAGTTGTGTAGAGGATGCATGGAATTTAGGCTCCCATTTACGAACAGACAAGAAGTGATTTAAAACAAACCATGGACCCCTCATGCAGTGCCTTAAGCATATTTTCCTCCTTTTGAAATTTGATTAAGAAGAAATCCGAGCCCAAATCTATCAAAGGAAGATCCTCAGTTGGCTTCCATAGTCCAATCAGTTTAGCATGCAAAATTTGGTGTGTTATATTTCGACCAAAAAGCTTAACAATTACTGAGTATTTCCATGGCATATATAATCGACATTTATCTTCAGCAGTGATAGGAATAAATATGTCTTCATCTTGATTGGTTATAATACTCTCATCCTCTAAGTCAAAAGAGTGTCTAATACACTGTTGGATATGAGGAGTTGTTGATTGATGTTTATTGGAGATTAAGGCTTGAAGGAAGGAAGTTGGAGGATTGGTGTGAATCTTATCATCGATTTGCATAGTTCCAATATCGGGTGGTTCTGTTAGTTCTTTGGTAGAGGGACTTGGTGGTATATGATTATTCATAGCTAGTGAGTTTGTTAGTGGTTTTTGTATATGAGATATGAAGAAAGGAAGAAGGCTAAGCTGTGTAGTTGTGTTAGAGAGAGAAGCTCTTACATCTTTCTAGATCCTGTCTCTTTTCTTTTTCAACTATGTTCACCCACGATTAGAGAAGAGAAAAACAATACTTTCTCTGCAGGGTATTTTATATGATATTATTTCTTTTTAGAAATTTTTTAAAGTACTATTTTTTATATTTGAAAATATTTATATATACCATAAATTGAACTACACATTTCACCTTTGAGATGACATGATTTTTGTACTCGTGCAAATATCATTGCATATTCAAAATCTCATACGTTTTTATAATATTGTTTTCTTTTCAAAGGAGTACAAAAAGAAAGAAGAAAACTTGCCCTTCCATAGTGGAAAGTGTAAGATTTTCTTACGTTAATTTATTGGTGGCCCAATAGGTTTAAGGCCCATAATTGATATTTAATTAATGATTAAATCTCATCCGTCCGATCGGTTACTTGATGGACGTACCAGATTAAATAAGAACCTCTATAAATTGGTCCTCTCCCCACCCATTAGGGTTACCATATTTTCTATTCTCTCTTCCATCACTAAAGTCGGCAGTAACGAAAGCTAGGGTAAAAGGTAAGAAACCAATTTCAATTAACGCTTCCGCTTCATGATGATGGCTTATGATTCAGGTATGTTTTCTGTAACGATTTTGTGCAAGATTATCATGTTCAAGATCCTGGTGTAACTTAAATTTATGCTTACATATGGTATCAGAGCCTGAGATTTGAATTGATAATCTTTGATAAAGAATGTAATGCTAAACACATATATGTAATATGTGTGCCACCTTATGGATTACTGTAGCCATGGAAAAAAATTAATACGCACAGTTATTTTCTGTTTTTGTATTTTATGTCCGTCTTCGGACTTCACGTTCTTTGTCCAATTAATAACACAACACTATACTAAGAATTAAAATTCTAGTCTTTGTTGGTTTGGTGTTGAAGTGCCGAAATATGTTTATTTATATCTTTATCCTTTTCAAATGTGATGTAAGATTGAATGTAGTTATGTTGATTAAAATTACGAAAACTGCTGATGATGGTTACTATTTTTAAGCAATTTGGGGCCATGATCTTTATAAATTAAATAAAAGGAGATTTGATGTTAAATCCCTATACTGCCTATTTGCTTAATGTTACTGCCGATGGCATTGTCTGTTTGATCTCCTTTAGAGTTTCAGTACCATTTAAGGATTAAATATTAAGTGTTTGATCCCCATTAGAGTTTCACTGCCATCTAAGGATTAAATATTAGATATTTAACGTTATTAGCAGAAAGTGCTTAATTAATGTATCTTTTGAAATTATGTAGTTTGTTAGTCACCAAAGTGATCAAACTACATTGTTTAAAATATTCACATGCATAAAATTTCCTGATGCTTATTTTATGTGTGCATTTATGTTTATATAGTTCTTTAGTCACCAAAGTGGCCAAACTAGTATGTTCATAAAAAGTTTGCATACATAAAATTATATTTTATCTATGAAATTAATGAAATGCCTATGATTGAAAATAAATGGATAAATTAATTTTCACTATTGCTAGAACTTAAGGATTTACCCAAAGGTGAATCAATTATTCTATGAATAGTGAATATGATGAGGTAAATTAATATTCTTAGTCAAATATATATTGTCTGTCCAAAGATAGCATATATATTTGATTAAAAATATTTAATTACCTATTAAAGACTAAAGGGCACTTAAATTATGATAGTGTGTCATAGTATTTACCCAAAGGAGAATTGCGATATGCTTTAACTGTTTTGTTGAATCCATATTGATTTGTGAGCATGTATTATCTATTTTGCAGCTATTCCTTTTCATTCGCTTGCTTCATCTGTTACTGTGTTCAACGGATTGAACTTCTCTAAATGGCTTGAACAAGTCCAGTTCCACTTAGGTGTGATGGATCTTAACTTGGCTCTGCTGAATGATAAGCCCGCTGCCATTACTAATTCGAGCAGTGCGGATGAGAAGTCTTTCCATAAAGCGTGGGAACACTCTAGCATGCTAAGCATTATGTTTATGCGAATGAATATTGCCAGCAATATTAAGAGTACTATTCCACAAACAGAAAGTGCCAGGGAATACCTGAAGTTTGTGGCAGAACATTTTCGTTCTGCAGATAAGTCTCTTGTTGGTATACTAGTGGCTGAACTCACGACCATGAAGTTTGATGGGTCGCGTAGTATGCAAAACCATATCATCGAGATGACTAATATTGCAGCAAGACTTCAAACCTTGGGGATGAAAGTGGATGACTTCTTCCTGGTTTAGTTTATTCTGAACTCGTTACCTCCTGAGTATGGCCATTTTCAAATTAACTATAACACTATTAAGGATAAGTGGAATGTTAGTGAATTGTCCAGTATGCTTACTCAGGAGGAGTCAAGACTTAAGAAACAAGGGAGTCATTCAATTAACCTCATGGGTTAAGGAGCTGGTAAAGGACTTAAAATGAAGGCCAACAAGTTCAAGAAGAAGAAAGCACCTACTAAAGCTCAACAGGATGCTAACAAGGAACATAAGGTAGATATGTGTCATTTATATAACAAGGAAGGACACTATCAGAAAGATTGCCTAAAATGTAAAGGTTGGTTCGAAAAGAAAGGTACAATTAGTGCTTTTGTATGTTTCAAATCAAATTTAGTAGAAGTTCTTAATAATACTTGGTGGCTTGATTCTGGTGCAACTGCTCATGTATCTACTACGTTGCAGGTATTCCTTACGATCCAAACTACAAATACAAATAAGGATTTCTTATTCATGGGAAATCGTATGAAGGCCCCAATTGAAGGCATAGGGACTTATCGTTTGATCATGGATACTAGACGTCACCTTGATCTATTACAGACTCTTTATGTACCTTCAGTTTCTAGGAATTTGATTTCTCTTTCAAGACTTGATGTTTATGGATTTGATTTAAAGTTTGGAAATGGATGTTTCAATTTATATAAGAATGTTATTTTTATGATTCTGGCTTTCTCAGTGATGGTTTGTATAAATTGAAACTCGATATTGGTTTTTTTGAATCCCTTTTTACTGTTCAACATAATGTTGGAATTAAACGTAGTTCACTAGATGAAAGTTCTACTTACTTGTGGCATAGACGTTTGGGTCATATATCCAAAGAAAGGTTAGAAAGATTATTAAAGAATGAGATTCTTCCGAATCTAAATTTTACTGATCTTACTATATGTTTGGATTGCATTAAGGGAAATCAAACCAATCATAGTAAGAAAGGTGCCACAAGAAGCACCCAACTTCTTAAAATTATACACACTGATATTTGTGGACCCTTTGATGTTCCATCTTTTGGTGGAGAGAAATATTTTATCACTTTTATCGATGATTTTTCACATTATGGATACATCTATTTGCTGAAAGAAAAATCTCAAGCAGCAAATACTCTCAAGGTGTTTGTTAATGAGGTTGAAAGACAATTAGATAAAAATGTAAAAATTATTAGGTCAGATAGAGGTGGTGAATATTATGGAAAATATAATGAGTTAGGACAATATCCAGGTCCATTTGCAAAGTTCCTCGAGGAACATGGCATATGTGCACAGTATACTATGCCAGGAACACCTCAACAAAATGGTGTTGCAGAAAGGAGTAATCGAATACTTATGGATACGGTTAGGAGTATGATGAGTAATTCCTCATTACCCAAATCATTATGGATGTATGCTCTTAAAACTGCTATATATTTATTAAACAGGGTTCCTAGTAAGGCAGTTCCAAAGACCCCTTTTGAACTGTGGACAGGAAGAAAACCTAGTTTAAGGCACCTGCATGTTTGGGGTTGCCCAGTGGAAGCTAGAGTTTATAATCAACAAGAAAAGAAATTAGATTCTCGAACAGTAAGTGGTTACTTTATTGGTTACCCAGAGAAATATAAAGGGTATGTGTTTTACTGTCGAAACCATAGTTCGAGTATTGTTGAAACCGGTAATGCAAGATTCATTGAGAATGGTAAAGTTAGTGGGAGTGTTGGAAAGCGAAGTGTGAAAATAAAAGAGGTGAGGGTAATATTTTTTTACCCACGAATGTGCCTACTTCCACACAAATACCAAATATTGTTCCAGTTGTTGAAGAACACTTTGACAACACCGAGCAATATTTGGATGAAACACTTCATGAAGAAACTAACTCACAAATATCTGACACAGATGAACCACAAGAAATGCCATTAAGAAAATCTCAAAGAATTAGAAAATTGGCTATTTCGGATGATTACGTGATTTATTTGCAAGAGTTAGATTTTGACATTGGTCTTAATAAGGATCTGGATTCATTTTTACAAGCCATAGAAAGTAATGAGTCTGACAAATCGATTGATGCCATGAAGGAAGAGTTAAAATCCATGGAATACAATAAAGTCTGGGATCTTGTTGAACTGCCAGAAAGTTCTAATAGAATCGGGTATAGATGGGTCTTTAAGACCAAATGCGAGTAAAATGGCAATATTGAGCGATACAAAGCCAGACTTGTTGCCAAGGGTTATACTCAGAAAGGAGGCATTGATTTTAAAGAGACCTTTCGCCGGTCTTAAAGAAAGACTCGTTAAGAATTATTATGGCTTTTATGGCTCATTATGATTTAGAGTTACACCAAATGGATGTGAAAATTGTCTTTCTTAATGGAGATCTCAAGGAGGAAGTGTATATGGACCAACCAGAGGTTTTCGAAACTAAAGGAAAAGGTCAAATGGTGTGTAAACTGAAGAAGTCAATATATGGACTTAAACAAGCTTCACGACAATGGTATATAAAGTTAAATGATAACATAACATCTTTTGGATTTTATATACCAAAAGATCAGTGGGAGCAAGTTTATATTTTTAGTCCTATATGTTGATGTTATTCTACTTGCTGCTAATGATTTAGGCATATTGCGTGAGACTAAAAATTTTCTCTCTAAGAATTTTGAAATGAAAGATATGGGTGAGGCATCCTATGTGATAGGAATAGAAATATTTCGTGATAGATCACAAAGATTATTGGGATTGTCTCAGAAAGGCTATATCGAAAGAGTTCTAGAGAGATTTAACATGAACAATTGTTCTGCAGGAATTGTTCCAATTCAAAAAGGGGACAAATTTAGTGTCATGCAATGCCCTAAAAATAATGTAGACCGAAAAGAAATGGGATCAATTCCTTACTCTTCTATTGTTGGTAGTCTGATGTATGCTTAGACTTGCACAAGATCATATATTAGTTTTGCGGTCGAAATATTGGGAAGATATCAGAGTAACCCAGGAATTGATCATTGGAAAGCTGCAAAGAAAGTTTTGAGGTACCTGAAAGGAACGAAGGATTACATGCTCATGTATAGGAGATCCAAGCATTTGGAAGTTTTTGGATACTCGGATTCAGATTTCGCTAGATGTATTGATACTAGAAAATCCACGTTTGGTTATTTGTTCCAATTAGCTGAAGGAGCAATATCATGAAAGAGTGGCAAACAGTCTATCATTGCTACATCCACGATGGAAGCAGAATTTGTGGCATGTTTTGAAGCCACAATTCATGCATTATGGCTGCGAAACTTTGTTTCACGACTTGGGGTTGTCGACACCATTACCAAGCCGCTGAAAATTTATTGTGATAATTCTGCAGCAGTATTCTTCTCCAAGAACGATAAATACTCCAAAGGTGCCAAACATATGGAATTAAAGTACTTTACCGTCAAGGAGGAATTTCAGAAACAAAGAGTGTCACTTGAGCATATTAGAACTAATCTGATGATTACAGATCCGTTAACGAAAGGTTTACAGCCAAAGATATTTAAAGAACATGTACATAGAATGGGTCTTGGCTGCATTTATGATTGATGTATTTATGATGTTTTGACACTCTGAGCTCATTTATGTGTTTCTGATGTACATTAGTGATTTCCTGTTTCTCATTGTGGTGTACACATTATTGTTTTGAGATATTACAGGATAAGTCTCAATGAGACATTACTGTGGACCATAATATTTTATAGCTTATGGACCTGGTACGATGAGTTGCTAATGTTGTAGTATATGGAAGAGAGTATGTAGACAAATTATATATAACCGCCATAACTCACATTTAAGTGTTTATCGTATTATGGTATTTATGATGGATATTATCTAAGAGATTTGTTTATGCGCAACTAATGTTCCTATATTAAATATTAATATTATGTGATTATTGGGCCAAGTAGGAGAATGTAAGATTTTCTTACGTTAATTTATTGGTGGCCCAATAGGTTTAAGACCCATAATTGATATTTAATTAATGATCAAATCTCACCCGTCCGATCGGTTACTTGATAGACGTACCAGATTAAATAATAACCTCTATAAATTGATCATCTCCCCACCCATTAGGGTTACCGTATTTTCTATTCTCTCTTCCATCACTAAAGTCGACGGTAACGAAAGCTAGGACAAGGGGTAAGAAACCAATTTCAATTAACGTTTTCGCTTCACAATAATGGCTTATGATTCAGGTATGTTTTCTGTAATGATTTTGTGTAAAATTATTATGTTCAAGATCCTAGTGTAAATTAAATTTATGCTTACAGAAAGTAGCAGCAAAGAGAACACAACGGCAGGTGCTGGCAACTGGAACTCCCACAGGCTTAAAAAAGAGGGCATAAGATGGCCCTTTCAATCGCATGCACCACATTTGGACACTGCTACGTATTAAACTTCCAAACATTGCCTATATATCATGTAACAAAGTATCTCGTTGGATTAGGTAATGACTAAAGAACAGTACATTCATTTTAATTGAATGTACGATTGCTTTTGTGAGCTTACAGTTAGAACAATGACAAGAAGTTCAAAGTTAAGCTTAAGCCTCCACGCACTGAGATTCTTTTCCATAAGTAAAGCAAATACTGCAGATTGGATCGTCCCAAACAAGGTGTAAAGACACGTTATATTCATCACCTGTGGGTGCTTCTTGCTACTTCCCGCCTGAAAAAAAACAACAATTTCATTCAATGTAGGTTCTATTTGAGAGAGAAAACGAAGAGGAAGAGAAAAAGGTTTAAGTTATATAGACCGTAGTTTCATGTTATATCAAGTTAGATGTTACTATCACTTTAACTAGGTTATTAGTTGTCGTTCGTTATAGAGATTCGTTTGCAATTACCTTATAAATGATCTGACTGTATAGATATTCTTTAAACGATTAGTTAATAGAACTTAAACCCGAAAAGAAAAAGAACAGAAAAGAATAATAAAGGAAACCTGAATAATGCTCCATATGGTAAGAGCAAATGAAGCAGCAGCAACC